GGGGTGGGCCCGGGCCGCGGCGGCGGGCGGGGAACCCGGGGACCCTGGGCGCGCACTTGGCCGGCGCTCCGGCAGTGCTCGCAACTCCGCCGGGCGGTTAGGGGCGCAGGGCCGCGCCGGGCGCTCCGCGGGCTGCTCTTTGTCTCCGACGCCCGGCCCCTGACATCGCTCCCCGCAGCGCGGGTTCGTTGGACTCTTTCCTCCAGCATCTGGGCGCCAAGACTCCTGCCTCCCGCGAATATTTTAGCGAAAGTTCAGGGCGGGGGCTGCTGGAAGGGGGGAAGCGGGGTAGTTGGTTGCCTCTTGATTAACACGCTTTCTTAACTTCAGATGATTTCCCACTTCCAGAAACTTTGGAGGGCTGTTTGTTTTGTTTTGTTTCCCTTCCGTCTCCAGATTCAAAATTTAAGAGAAGGCGCTAACTCTGTGATTGTGGGCAGTTGTGTGGTTGGCCGCAACATTTGGAGCTTCGAGTTGAAAAAGATTTACGTGAATGTGTGGTTTAGGATTTTTTTTTTTCCTCCCTGTTTTGCGATTGTTTCTGAGATTGAGATTTCTGTTTCTTTGCGAAATGGGCGAGTTTGGTTTTATCACTTGCAGGAATTTTTGTTCATTGAGAAGTGGCTATGGTACAGATTTCTTTATGCTCACACTTTGTTAGCATCAATATAAACTTGTGTAATCGAGTAAATCAAGTAAGAATGAATTCTAGTAAGCGTTATCTTGTATTCCTGATAAGTCTAAAGTTGTCACATGTTCGTCTTGTGTATACGTTCAAGTGAGTAGGTGTGGAAGAAAGCGCTATAAAAATTAACTACAAATGAAGGATTTTATTTTAATTCTCCGCTTAACGGAGAACAGCACATTTCGGATACATTAATATCTGTTGAAAAAGGGATTAATAATGCAATTTTGGGGTCAAATATTTTACCGCCTAAAGAGGGCTTAGGTATTACTATTTCAGAATAAGAATGAAGAAAAATAAACTTAATTACAGAACTCCCAGCTAAAAATATTGCGAATTGTGGTTACGTTTGCTGGGGCTTTTGGTTTTATTTTTCGGAATTTGGAGGTGTATGTTGTAGTTGCTTCGGATTTCTTAAGTACTATGTAATGGCAGAATTAAACTTGAAATAACTTCTGGGTAAAAGGTAAAAAGCTTGGAAACAAATCAGTCTGGTCGCTAGATCTTCGTGAGCAGAGTGTTGTAGGCAAAGGACATTTTCAAGAGAATACATAGAATATATGGAAGTTCTTCCTTTCATTGTTTATCCTGACCTGTAATGGTTTAGTATTACTTACTATTTGTCTAAATAGCTGTACACTTTTCCAAAGCATTTCAAACATCCTTTCCACAAGTCAGTGCTTTTCAGAGTGCTTTAAGAAGTCAGCTTGAACTTCAAGATATTGTTATATCTTGAACATAACAATCTTATTTATAAATGCTGTTAACCCCTTAATAATTATTTTTCTTATTTCATATTTGTATAAATCAGCCAAAGGGAAGGGATACGTGGTCTGTCTCTGATTAGCCCATTCCCCTATCCCCCCAGCTCCAGGCTCACCTATCAATTCAGTAATTGGGATCCTAATATACAAAATATGTAGTTAAAACCTAGACTATCATTCTCTTAATAAATACGTAGTCTGTTCCATGCATAAGTCAGTGCACAGTGATAAATTCCAAAAGGCTTTTTTTTATTTGAAGTTTGTTTAAAATAAATGAGATACGTTCCTTTTATTAGTATTTATTAATCTGGATGGCTAATTGCAACTGGGGATGTAATTACTGATTTCTGAGCTTGTGCTTTTGTAGCATAGAACCATGGGTGACTCCTATCCAAACTATCAGGTAAAAATTTAGGCAAAGAAAGGACGGGATTACTTTTTTTGCTTTTGTGGACCATTCTTTTGAGAATACGTGTGAGAAGACAGATTTTAGCCGATGTCATTAACCTGAACCTTAGATATAAAAAACAGGTCCGAACTGTTAATATCACCCAAGTGCCAGCAAATGTTTTTCAAACATACCGCTATAACTGAAGAGTTTGTGTAAAAGTAAAGATCTAGTCTGTTACTCTGTTAAATAGCATTGCCATTTTCTACAATTCTCAAGAATAACGGCTAGTCAGTGTACTGGCTAGCATACTGGAGTACATCCTTATGTTTTGAAAACACTGTAGTGGCAGACATCACTTGGATTTATCATTCAGACTCATGGAATGTGTTGCCCAAAGGGATTTTTCCCCTAACACAAGGATGAGATCTCTTTGCAGATATCTTCTATTTCTAAAGAAATGAAGTTTTCTGTAGAATGAGTAGAGCCCTCATTTAAAAGTTGTTCTTTGAGGCTATACTGCTGTAGCTTAATTTGGACAGAAGTGTTCTGGTGCCCACCCATTTCATTCGGTGAACCTTTTTTTTTCTTTTTCAGTTAAGTACTTATGTTAGGCACTGAACTAGATGCTGATGATTCGAAGATGAATCCCATGTGATTTTTGCTTTCAAAATGCTTATAGTTTAATATGTTAAAAAGGTTTAGCAATCTGGAAATTTTCTAAAATCTTAGAAACAGAAGAAATGTATAGGATTTCGGAGTTAGTTTTGATGTTTGTCTCTACAGAAATGGAATGAATTTCACACACCCTTGTTCTTATCCTCTAATCTCTAAACTATATTCAAGTCTTAAAAAGATTTTTTAATCTACATTTTTTAGGGTTTATCAGTTTTGACAGTACTTAACTGAATTATAACATTACTTTTGGGAATGTTCAGAGTAAAGTGGATCTGGACTCTGTCAATTTTTAGGGAATTCCCTTTGAGTCATTCTTGGACCTTGATTTCCTAATTGCCCATCCAGAATAGGTGTTTGTTTATTTGGATTCAAAATTTCCTTCCTGAAATACATTCTTCTCTTGGATTCTGATTTTCCCTCCTTGCTCTCTGGCTCTTCAGGCTTTTTTCCACCCTCCTCTTCTACTTGATCTTTAATTGGTGGTCTTTCTCAAGTCTTGGTTCTTAGGCTTCCTCCCTTCTCACGCTACTCTACCTATTCTGTGGCTTCAGTTACCATATATATTTTGAATACTCTCAAATTTTTATCTGTGGTTCAGACCCTTTTTCTGATCCCAGCTATCTGTTCAACTTCTCCACTTACATACTCAGAGGTACTTTGAATTGAGCTTTCCAGATTGAGCTCTTGTTTTTGGTACCAAACCTAGACCTTCTTCACTGTACCTATCCTGTTTTATTAGGTGGTTCTATCAACAACTTACTGAGGCCAGACTCTTGCCATTTCTCTCTACCTCTGGTCTCCCCATCCTAGTTGAGGCCACCTTTTCCTAAGTCTATTATAGTCGATTCTAAATGGTTTTTCACTCTTGTAAAAATTTTTTTAAAAGTAATATGAGATATTTAAGACAGCAGAAGTAATAATACTTCAATAAATATTTGTATTCCACCTTGCAGCTTAAGAAATAAAACATTACCAGTCCAGTTGAAATTGCCTGTGTTTCCCTGCCTGATTGCACGTTCCTTTCCATCTTCGTCGTAGGCTTCTTTACCAGAGGCATTGCCAACTTGAATTTATTATTCTTTTGAATTTCTTTGTGCTTTTATTATATATGTGCACTCCCCAAGCCATATACAGCAAGTCCTCACTTAATGTCATCGGTAGGTTTTTGGAATCTACGACTTCAGGAGAAATGAAGTATAATGATACCAGTTTTACCATAGGCTAATTGATGTAAACAAGAGTTAAGTTCCTGCAGCATATTTGTAGTTGCTGATTGTACTGAAGTAACTTCTGACAAAGCTTTTGTTCTAACTAGAAGCCTTATTATTGGTTTTGTTTTGTTTTGTTTTTGCATTATTGGTCTTATATACCAATACAATGTTAAGTCCTTAGTAAATACTTACTGATGTAAACTCACTAATAGCCGTGGCTGATCAATCTTTAGTAGCTTTTTAAAAAACAATTTCCTTTTCTTTTTTTAAAATTTAAATATATTTATTTATTTAAATTAGTTTCAAGTTTTAGTAGTTTTAATAGACCAAAAATACAATGATCACCTGTGGTATGGTATACACAATGGGGACCTTGCCTCCCAGGAAGATAAATACAGGCTTAGGCAGGCTATCAAATGGAATAAAGAAATTGAAGATTAGGTTATTTTCTTTGACATACTATACCTAGTTCTAATTTTAATATCTTCCCATTTGTTGGGCCAAGCGTCAGTATAATTAATTTCCCAACAAACCTAGACATATTATACAGTTAAACATTAAGACTGATATTGACAGTTTTGAACTTGAATATTTCACTTCATTGACTTTTTAAAAATTGGTTTTTGGGGGTAGGTCATGTATTATGTAGTACAAACTCCTAAAGGTATAAAAGGATATCTAGTGAAAAGTAAGTCTTCCTTTATTCTCTTTTCATGCTCACTCATTTTTTTTTTTCTGCCAAAGCAATTACTGTTTACCTTTTTTTGTGTGTGAATTCTTCTAGAGCTATCCATACATTCAGTATTTACCCCATATATATACATAAATGGTAGAATGCTATACACTCTATTCCACAGCCTGCATTTTCCACTAATATATCTTAGTTTCATATCGTTACAGATAGAGCTGTCTCCTTCTCTTTGACTACTAGATGTATTATAATTTGTTTACCCAGTGCCTTACTGATAGACTTTTAAATTGTTTCCAGCCTGTCATCAACAATGCTGCAGTGACTGTTCTTGTACATTATTTTATATGTCTGAGTATATTTGTTAGGTAAATATTGAGAATTGAAATTGCCAGGTCAAAAGAAAGGCACATTTTCAATTTTGATAGACAGTCCCACATTGTCTCATTGAAGCTATACCAATTTACCCCACCACTTCCAGTAAAGAACAAAGAACGTCTCTTTTCTACACACCTTCCTTGTTAGTGGTCTGGTATCAATTTTTTAATCCTTTCTAATTGGATAAATGAAAATATTATATTGGTGCAGTTTTAATTTGTAAATCTTTAATTACAAATGATACTGAATGTCTTTTTATATTAAAAACCATTTCTGTTTCTTTTTCTGAGAACTGTCTCCATCTCCATTGCACATTTTTCTATTGAGTGGTCTTTATTATTGATCTGTCGGTGTTAGAAAAATTAGCCTTTTATTCTAAGAATTGCAAATTGTTTTAAGCATTTAGTATATCTTTTGAGTCGTCTACAGTATTTTTTTGCTTTTCAGAAATTGTGTTTGCTGTCCAGAAAAATATCCATATTTCTTCTAACTTTTAAGGTTTTGTTTTTAATTTTAAATCTTTGATCCATTTGGAATTTTAAAGATCCAGCTTTATTTTTAATTTTTTCCAGATGGCTACTCAAAGTAGTTCAATATCATTCGTTGAATATTCCATATTTTTTCTGTTGGTTTGCAGTGCCATCTTTTTCATACATTAGATTCTCATGTGTATTTGGATCTTCCAGACTTTCTATTCTGTTCCATCAATCTGTTAATCTTTTTTGCCAGTTCCACCTTTGAAAATTATAGCTTTATGGTACATATGTAGAGGAGTTCGTATACCCTCGTTACTCTTTCAGACATTTTCCATTCATTCTATTTATTTTTTCACATTGAATTTAGAATCAGTTTTCTACTTCCAAAGAAATTCTATTGGCATTTTTAGAAATCAAGATTGCATTACATTTTAGACTAATTTAGGGAAAACCGACATCTTATAATGGCTTTTGTATCTAAGAACATGGAATGCTTTAAGTCTTTAAAGCATTTTAAGCATTTAAGTCTTGTGTGTTTTCAAGTGTTTGTCATTTAAATCCTGTGCGTTTCTTGTTAGGCTTATTCCTGAGTATTTTATCTGTTTGTTGCTGTTTTACATGGGATTTTTTCTTCAGTTATATTTATGTTGCTTGTCTGTTGCTTTCAACTTTTTCAGTGACTTTCTGCATGGTCTTTAACACTAAACCCACATAGTATAGCAAAAAGATCATTAAGTCTTGAGTCGTATTGTAAGCTTTACAGCTAATCAGTTGTGTGATCTTAGGCAAGTCATCATGATCTTTGACATCCTCTTCAGTAAAATAAGGATATTAATTTCATACCGTGGTATCAAACAGTGGGTCACTGAAGAAAGATAACTTTAGAATTCATGGAAGTTTATCTGCAAACTGTATAAGTAATGTCTTACTAATGTGTATAACCTTTTCAAATGTGCATGTAGGTGATATGATAAACTACAGATTTATTTTAAAACTTTACCAATTTATAGTAGTTGTATCTTTATGTGTTTTCTCCAAAGATAGATAATAAACATATAACCACTATTATATAAGGCTCCAGAGAAATCTTGCGATTTATATAAAGGACCTCAGACTCTAAAAGTTGGGGACTACTAGCCTAGCCCATCTCGGTTTCTTTGACAACTAATAGTGTGTGAACCTATGAAACTAAGTGTATTTGTGGAAGATTTGGATAATAAAGGTGTTTGGATTTTTTTCTTAAGATAGTGATTTTTAAACTTATAATATCAGAAATGTTAGTTCTTGGGATCTTTTAAAAAGACTTGATTGACTAAGCCATCTAGATTTGTATAGAAAATGCTTTATTGAGAGAAGCAAGGTAGTACTTTCTGAAAGGGAATTTGGTATTTGTGTGACTAAATCAAATAGTTAGCTTTGACTTCACATTCCAATTCTGTAGTAGATTCTCATGTTATTCATCATGAAAGCTTTGTATTATAGGTGGGGCAGTTCAAGCAGATGTGTACTTAGATTCACTTGAAAAGGAAAGCTTTCTTTTAAGTTTGGAAAAATTATTAGGAATTGGGGGAGAGTCTCAGTTCTTTTACTGGATTGTGTATTCTGTTATACTTGAGCTTGGAAAAGAAAAGAGGATGGAAAAATATGTTATGATTTGAAGTATGTCCTAGGAGGAAAATTATATACATAGCTTGCAAAGCACTTTATTGATTTATTTTGATTACCAGTTAATTATGGTTACTAGTTTAATGGGAAAGTTTAAGCAACTGTAGCATTTTGAACCCCAGATAGAATGCTCTTAATAGATGCTTTCTTTCCTACTGCTTTTTATTTTGCCTGAGAAAACTGGTTTTTTGCCTTCATTGGTTTGAAATTACATACATATCAACGTAGTTTCTCGAGAGAGGAAAATGGAGATGAGATCAGTGCTCAAAATAGTGGTCTTAGATTCCAGTTTAGCTAATCTTCAAAGCCTTAAAATAACAGATAATTTTGGTTTTAAAAAAATCCATCTAGGGTAATATATTAACATTTAGTGTTTTGGGAGATACATCTTTTGGATCTGTACTGAATCTCATGGGCATATTCTTATCCCAACAGAAGAATCCTTGATATGGAGGAGAGAAAATGAAGTGGCGTGATTAGAACAGGATGTATGAATTTTGTCATATTTTCACATGTCAAGTATAAACACTTAATAGAACTCACTTGTAATGGAGAATGGTAAGTTTTTGGCGACTGTTTAATAATCAGTTTTTCAAATAAAGGTAACTCCTTCTGAATACTCAGTATCAGACAAAATAGCCAGCAGGTAGCAATGACAAAAATTATGTATTTCAAGGAAATATTGGATATGTTAATTTTCTTTGCTGGTTTTTGACCATTTTATAATGAGTCTAAAATGAAAAGAGCATCATTATGATACCAAGCTGCTACATAAGACATCATATCAGAGTACTACTTCATTATCTTTGATATACCCTGATTAATTAAGAATTATTCTCTAGACTCACCATCCTATATTTTAATCTGGAGTGGAATTTTATATAAGTTCCGTCTTGGACTCTCTTATTCAAGGAGGTGTAATAACTGTACCAAAGGTTCTATGAGATGTTAACTTTTTTTTTTGTGATATATCCATTATTTAAGTAGGTCTTTATGAATTTATGTAAATATTATGAAATTTGTACCCTGGCGTATTTTTAAATTTCTCTTGGGACTTTTGCTGCATAGTAAAGCTTTGCCAACTCCATTATTACATGTTTATTGTAGAAAATACTGAAAAGCAAATTATCCATAAGCCCTGTTAATGTTATTTTATTGGGAGTTTTTCATTTGCTTGTTTTTGTTTCTTTTCTACATAGGAGCATTTTCCCACATAATGAACTATTTTTTAAAACAGGTCACAAATTGGCAGGTTTTATTCAGCTGGTATGATACCTAGCTCAATATTATTTAAATGTTTTTCCTATTAGTTGTCAGCATGAAAAAAAAGACAGGAAGGTAAGTTGATACAACCTCCTTCAGAAAAATACTAATCTACTAAAGCTGACATGTACGTACTCTATGCCTAGCAATTCTGCTAGGTATGCAATAGAAACACACACATGTTCTCCAGAAGATGTGGAATGTTCATAGTAGCATTATTCATAATAGCCCCAAACTGGAAACTGCTCAAATACCAATCAGCAGTAAATGGATAAATTGTGATATACTCACAGAATGGCAATTTAATAAAGAAAATAAAACTAGAACTAACAGATGTTGAAAAGAACTCAGACACAAAAGAGTATATTCTTTATGATTCCAATATAAGAGAATTTATTCTGTATAATTCCATTTATATAAAGTTCAAGAAGAGATTAAACCAGTGGGTCTCTGTGGTGTGATTCTGCTACATAAGACACCATTTAGCAATGACTGGAGACATCTTTGGTTGTCAGAACTGGAAGAGACTGGATGCAGAACATCCTACAATGCAGGACAGTCTCCCACAACAAAGCATTACCCAAAATGTCAATAGTGCCAAAGCTGGCCTTGGGCTAAACTAATCTATGCTCTTAGAGGTAAGGATGGTGGTTTCTCTTGGATATGAAGGGGCATGACTGTGGCTATGGGTAGCTGGTCGTGCTTTGTTCTTGATTTTAGTGCTGTACTAAAATCAAGTTTTATATATATATAAATTTAGTTAAATGGATGTGTTCAGTTTGTGAAAATTCATTGAGCTATACAGTTAACATTTGTGCACCTTTCTGTAGGTATTTTAGACTTTGATAAAAAATTTATCAAAAAATCAGACTTCACATAAAAATCCAGATGAGACTTCTTTTGAAAGATTTAACATTAAGTTTGGTAACACCCACAGCTGTAGCTAGTAAACAGCAGACAGACCCCCTTTAGTTGGTGCATGTGTTCTCCAGGCCCCATTTTCCTGTTTTGGTTACTTGTATCACCTCACTGGTATCTAGACATTTAAAAATAATTCACACACTACAGAGCAGGAGTCCCCAACCGGCCCAGGCCGCAAACTGGTACCAGTCCCTGGCCTGTTAGGAACTGAGCTACACAGCAGGAGGTGAGCAGTGGGCAAGTGAAGCTTCATCTGTATTTGCAGCCACTCTCCAGCACTTGTAGCATCACCGACTTAGCTCCAGAGATCATCGGGCATTAGATTCTCATAGGAACACCGGTCCCTGGTGCCAAAAAGGTTGGGGACCACTGCCATAGAGTTCACCTGTTTATACAATTCAGTGTTTTTAGTCTAGCTACAGAGTTGTGTAGCTGTCACCACAATCTAATTTTAGAATATTTCCATTCCCTTAAAAAGAGACTTAATACCTATTAGCAGTCACTTCCTATCCTCTCCCCCATCCCTAGGCAACAACTCATCTACTTTTTGTCTCTATATAATTTTAGACATTTGCATTTTGTGATCTCTGTTCTAAAACAAGATTTATAATGGTCGTACAGTATTTCATTAACAGGTTAGATCACAAATTATATAAAGTTCTTTTATTGGGCATTTAGTTAGGATAAGTTATTAGATATGGAATTATCGATGAGAGGTCATAAACATTCTGAAGTTCCTGATAACTATCACCGCAGTGCCTTCCAGAAAGATTGTACCAGACCACCCTTGTCATCAGTGTATGACAGTGTTTTTTGCAAATTTTGTATTGTGACCCTGGTCATATTGGAATTATTATACATCTGTTTTCATTTTGTCTTAGATATGTTTGTTTTTCTAGATGGATCATTGTTCACACAGTTGGTGAGACCTAAGTTTAGGCTATTTTGGACAAGTGTGCCAGTACTGTCCCTTTTTACATGAAGACAGTACCACTTACGATCCATTTTGAATGAATGCATTATTTCAGGTTTTCCATATTTCTCCAGCTGGTTCCTTAAAGGTTCTTTCAAATAGAATGGCTTTTTGCCAGCACAGATTGACACTTCACCCCACAATGGTGTATTCTGTTTCCTTGTTTGTTAATAGAGCCAAGATTTCAAGCTACTTTCTTTCTATTAGGTATTATAATTTGCTTCACAATAAATTACATTTTGTGTTTCTCAAATATTTTTTGTGGCCAAGAGCTCTTTTGAAAAACAAGTTGTTTTCATGTTTGTAATACATAAATTACTGTTTGCGTGTTAGCTGCCATAATGCTTTTTTTTTTTTTTTTTAGAAATTGTCACTAGCTAGTTATTAAACATCTATTATCGCTCATGCAGAATTAACTTCCACTTAAAATGTTCCAGTTAAACAAAACTTCATTGTAAACCCTTTAATTGATTCATTGTCTCTGCGCATAAAGCAGTCTCATTCAGGAGTGTGAGTCACTAGCACCATTCTTAGATTGCTAAGCTCATGATTTGGGATGCCCAGATAGTTAATACTTTAGAATCATGGTGAGTCAGTACTGAGACTTTTTAGTCCAACCACAGGTTTTCTTTGATGACTGGGAAGTGCCTTCTTGAAAATTTGACATCTTACTATTGTTTAATTTCACTGTCATTATTTCACTTCTTTCTGCATAATTTGTTGGTTTTATGAATTTTTCTGGAGTAATTTTCTTTTTTGTTTAGTTTAATGCCACTTTTAATATAGATGGAAGAGGAAGTCGCCTACATGATGTCGTTTGAAATGGAGTAATTTTTATCAAATGTTAATAGAAGGGACCTTAGAAATCGTCTAATCTGACATTCTCCACGTATTTCACACATGAAAAAATGGAAATACTTATTCCCGAAGTACCTGTTAGAATCTTTTGGCTCCTAGTTCAGTGCTTGCTCTGTCTCAGTTTCACAAAATTCAAGGTTAGGAGTCACTTTTTTAGAATATTAATTTTAATTCATCCTGGATTTTATTTTCATTTAGAAAAGAAATTAAGATTATAAAATATGGTCTATCTATTGTAGGTTTTAGGTTTGTTGTTATTTTTAATTAGAAGGAAGTTAAAACTTGGCTCTGATCCATTTGGACTTGATTGTTGCATTTGCAAAACATTTAGTATAGCACTACTTATTTAAAAGTTTTTAATTTCTTGATTATTATAGCTTAGTGAGCATTAAACATTGACAGGGAACCGTTATGGTTTTTTTTCATTGCTGATCTGAAACCCTTGGGAGCTTTTTTTTACATGAGTCTATTAGAGAGATTTTCCCAAAGATATATATGAAAGCGATATTTTTAGATTAACTGTTTTTGTGCCCAAGATTATAATAGAGATTGTAATGGAAAAAATGAATCAAATAAACTGTAAAGTCAAGCATTTCACTGTAGAATCATTGCTTTATAAAATGTTTAAACTTTAACAGATGATTTGTTATCTTCTGTTGCATAGCATGTGTAACTTCATTAAATATCTCTTGAATACAGCTGTAGTTTTTAGAAAGTGTTTCTAAATTTCCTATAAACTGCTGGATTGCAAGCTTCTTGATGGTAGGTAAATACTAATAGCATGAATGAATTTTAGTCTAAAACTTTTTTTTACTTTTTATTATGGTAAAATATACATTACAAAATTTATTTTTACCATTTTTAAGTGTTTAGTTCTGTGGCATTAAGTACATTTACATTGTTGTACAACCATCACCACCATCCATCTCCAGAACTTTTTTATATTCTTAACTGAAACTGTACCCATGAAACACTAACTCCCCATTCCTCCCAGCGCCATATAAGTAGAACCATATATTTGTCCTTTTTTTACTGATTTCTTTCACTTAGCATAATGTCTTCAAGATTCATCCATGTTGTAGCATGTTAGAATTTTCTTCCTTATGAGGCTGAATAATATTCCATTGTGTATATTGTATTTTGTTTATTTGTTCATCTGTCAGTAGATATTTGTATTGCTTCCGCCTTTTGACTATTGTGAATAATGCTGCTATGAACATGGGTGTACAAATATATGTTGGCCTCCCTGCTTTTGTTTCTTTTGGGTACAGAAGTAGAATCATATACTAATTCTCTATTTAATATTTTGAGGAAACCATAACCATACAGTTTTCTACAGCAGCTGTACCATTTTACATTCCCACCAGCAGTGCACAAGGCTTCCAGTTTTTCTATAGCTTTGGCAGCCTGCTTGCTCGCGTTCACTCTCTTGCTCTCTCTCTTTTCCTTCCTTCCTTTCTTCCCCCTTTCTCATCTCTCCCTACTTCTCTCCTTTTCCCTTCTTTCATAATAGTGTGCTTTTATTTGCACGTCCCTAGTAATT